TGTGCATTTTTGCAACTGAATTGAAACAATAAAACGTTTCTTTTTTATTCGGTCGTCGTTATTATCATAGAAAAATATTTTTAGAAGCCTCAATGCAGAAGTTAAGAATAGTAGTAAAGGTTACAGTACTTTTATCACTTCGCGATGCTTCATTGGATCACTGCCACAGGTATGTATGCTTTACTGTGTTTGACTGCATCAAGGCAAGAAAAAGATTACCCTATCAGTCTATCCTTATTTTAAAATTTGTAGTTTTTAGATTTTTCTATCAGGAACAAGAGATGCTTTGACCACTTGCTCAGCAAGCATTTTATTTATTCGCCGTTTTATCTCTGAACTATTTTTGCAGATTGGTTTTTGTTTCATTGCTTGAAATATCCTGCTGCCTGGTTCTATCTTTTCTCCCTTAGTGCGTAAGCACCATTCATTTGAGGTCGTCATCCTCATCATCAGCTGGCCACAATATCAGCGTTGCTGCGTCTCTTCAATTGACCGTGCTCTCTCAGCTGCAGCGTAGTTCGCCTCCTTCAGCGGTGTCTCCTTACCGACTCTGGCATGGACCGAAGTAGGCGCCGTGCCGCTACTTCCCACGGAGAGGTGCTACCGGAGTCGGGTCTGACTATTCTTCGTCCACCAACAGGTCCCCAACATAACGAACTCAGCACGGTTGTTGCAGAGAACTGGTGCTGGACCAGTTCTAACTTGATGAACTTATCATTCATAAGGACAATCCACCACTTCAGCTTTTACCGCGAAGATACTGTGAAAGTGATCAACAGTTTGATATTTTTTCTTCAAGAGCCATGGACACAGTAAAATGGTGTTTGAAGGTCAGTCCTAATGGTCTGGACGAAAAAATCAAGGACTACATTTCCTTGTATCTGCTGCTGAAATCCAGCAACCAGAGTGAGCTCTGTACGAAGATCACGTTTTACCTTCTAGACGTAAACAAAGAAGAAAGAGAAACCGTTCTGAGTCCTAAGGCATTATACTTCGTCCCAGGAAAACATTGGGGCCTGCAGAACTTTGCTCGAACTGTATTTTCGCTGTACAGGTTCGATGAACTCCTTCTTTGGGACAAACTTACCATCTTCTGTGAGGTGCACGCTCTTGAGGCTACAAGGGAAATATCAGGGCATAATAACCATGTGCTCTTTGATGTACCCGTATGCTGGCTGCCCGGATATTTTCGAGACCTTCTAAGAAGCGGCGATCTCAACGATATTCTTCTGAGCATTAGTGGCCGGCGATTCCGTCCGCATAAAGCCATTCTTTCAGCTAAGTCGTCCGTGTTTGCAGCCATGTGTCAGCACAACATCAAAGATGAGAACCAAGTAGACATCTGAGACATGGACCCCAACACACTACATTAACGGCTGCGATTCATTTACACCGGGCAAGTACTCAACCTTCAAAACATGACTGGTGTCCTTATGGCGGCCGCAGACAAGTACGCCTTGGAACGTTTAAAAATAACGTGCGTGGAGGCCCTGTGTTCGAAGATGTCGGTCGAAAACTCAGCTGAAGTGTTGGTTCTGGCTGACTTTCAAAATGCCACTCATTTGAAGGGATGTACAGTGGACTTCATTAGGTTTGAATGGGAGGGCGTATTAAATTCATTCCTTCAAAACATACAAGTATATCCATTCATTTCAGCAAAGAATATTGCGTATTTTTTTTAATATTCAGTTTCAAACAATGAGCGCAACACAGCCTTTACGAGGTGGTTCGCGCTTGGACTCGCGTCGTGAACGTCGTGCATAGCTGAGACGCGAAATCATTGAAAAGCGCGAAGAGTTTGTTTTTAGGTGACAGCACTTGAGTGCTCCCCCCCCCCCCCCCCCACACACACACAGTCGGACCAGAGAACGGTCGCTGTCTCTGTTCTCTCTCGCTTCCTTTACAAGGTGTCGAAAAGCTTTGGCGAACCCCAACTGCTACCTTGACGTAACGCGCTTTCCAGAAGAACAAGGCCAGGCTTCCTCGATGGTGAAACCCGCAAGTCAGCCACCACTGCAAGTATCCTTCCTACCCACCAGCGGACGAAGTACAGGCCTCCACGATGGCCCCGACGAACTACTTGACCGGCGGCGGGCTACTTTGCCTTTACAATGCGCCACGGCTCATTTCCGGAAATTCGGCTCACGCTTACCAAGATTTGGTTCGTGTAACAGCCACTCTACAATCTACTAGGCGAGTGACACCACCCATGCTCCGTTGGCCGTGGGTCTCCCCTCTGAGTGCTACACCAGCCGCATACTGTGCGGACGGGATTTTTCGCTCCCCAGGCACCACAACCAAGAGCAGCGCAGAGCTCTTGTGTGCTCTCACGCAACTGTCCTAACTGCTCGACTGCTTGGTGTCGTTGAGCTCCGGTGTCTAGCCGGCCGGCTCACCGTAAACCGCTCTTTCGGATTCTAGGCTTCCAGGAGGACGCTGACATATGGGTGGCGACTGTCAATGCTCTCGGCTCTCGATATGGCCACTGGCCCGACAATTATAAATGACAGGTCGTCATCGCCTGCCTTTGTGCAGGTGCCGAGGCGCGGCATAAATGCGAGGGCATAAAGAAACGAACCTGGCTAGAACGGAGTGCAAGGCTCATCGTTGTTTTCAGCTGGTGCCACAATGGCACATGCGCGCTCAACCAGACGACTATCGAGGGTGAAGCTGAGGAGTGGCTCATCCGCGAGGCTGCAGCTAAGGAGTGCAGCTCACCGATAGGATATTCAATGCCTCACATGAATACCAGACTCGGCTTGTTCAGAAAAAAGAAACCCCCGCCGAGTTTCGATGACAGGATCGACAACGTGACTCTACCACATGCACAAAATCAATCCCCCCAATCCCCACCGCGACCGCTTCCTTCAGTACAAGTCCGCGTTGCTGGAATTGGGTACCTTACGGCACTTGTACAAACCGGAGCTGCCCTTACTGCGCTACATCGACGCCACCCCCCAGTCACCCTCCAGCCTTGGTCCAAGACACCCTTGAGCGGCCTCGGCTGGAGTGCGTTGCCTGTCGGTGCATTGGGTTACCAGTGAGAACCGAAGCTAGGAGCGATTTCCTTGCCGGCGTTCCGGGTCCAGGAATAGCACGCGGACATGGTTTTGTGTGAAAACTACCTCTTGTCTGGTACGGTTCAGCTCACCATAGATGGTAGTGTTGTAAAGCTCCGTGCTCTGACCCCGAACATTTACTCGTCCCCCTATTCCAAAATTGAAACAACGCAACCACAGGCGCGATTCCGGCGCGCGAAATTGAACGTCTGACCTCTGAAGTTGAGTGCGAGGCGCTAACCACTGAGCCACGAAGGAGCACTTTATTCAACGTTCAAACAGCAAGCTATTTATATCTACCACTTACCGCTGATGATTGGCATCTCGGGGGGGGGGGGGGGGTTTGTTTTCATCTTTACCAGCGAGATGGCGCCATTAGTGCGCGTCGCTGGATCGTCACAATGCAGTGGCGTGCGCTCTCATCTCCCATGCTTACTTTGCGCTGCGGAGAGGGGGCAAGATGAACGATCACGGGTGCACTCGCTTATCTCGCGGTGGGGACAATCGTACGCCTTGGCTGGACTTGGGCTTTCACCGGGGCGATTCTATTGTAGTTACCAGGCACACAAAAGTCACTGTACTCGTCGCACGATCTCCGTTTGCGAAAAGAGTGCGTTTTTCAGACAGCGAAGTAACAACTGAGACGCCTATTTGCGTTTATCTGTACCTGTGAATACGTTTCGTGGTAATTTGTGCGTGAGAAAAGTGGGGAACGTTTCGATCTACTTGCCATTCTTGGCGTGACCTTCCAATGTGTTGCTATCAAGGTCATTGCTTCGCCTTTGCGGCAAACCTGTGACTTTTTTCTTTGCAATCTATTAGCACAGTCATACCCGTGACGGAAATGTGTCAGCGAGGCCGTAGTGGACCCTGGCATGAAACGCTTTCGTGTTAAAAGAAACCTCGTGTTAAAAGAAACCTATAAAGGTCACTTCCTTGTTGTTCGGGCTCAATAAGTGGTGTCTTAGAACTGCTATACGACAGACAGACAGTGAATTACCTTTAGTCAATACTTAGGTAAGAGAAATTTCTAAAAATAAGTATGACTTGCTGTAGCGTGTGTAAATTGTATAAACACAATGAGATAAATCCTGTTGGAGTGTGTTTCTATCCATCAAGCGATAAACCCGGCAGCAGTAGGCGTGACCATTGCATTTGATTTTAAATGTAGCAGAACGAACACAGATCAAGCTATGGCTGTGAAGGGTTCTTGTAGATGGCTCGGTGACAAATTGAGACTATAGTTAGTGAGATGAGTGGTGTATGTATACGCCGTCACTGCCGCAACCAATCGCTCGATTAATCGAAATGTCTCGACAGTCCCTATTTTATTCATGCATGTCACTGTTATCAAAGTGATGGTCATATCATTATCAAGAGAATAAGTAAAAAAAAAAGATTAGCTCACGTATAGCGTCCTCGTTTCTTTTTCTGAATTTCTTTGCTCCAGTAAACTATTTATGCGTTTCTGTTTTTTTTTAATTTCTGTGCTCTCTTGCGTTTTACTCGTCATGCACCGCTTACATTTTAGCAACTTTTTTCGAAGCAGTAAGTCAAAGTTTACCCCATCGTCATTGTTATCGTCCTCGCAAACACAGAATATGCGACCTACGTTGTGGGTGGTCGATACTAAAGCTCCTGAAATAGTGCCCAAAAATATACCACTTTTTATCGTATTCGGCTGAGGATGTTTTGTTTGTTTACTGGGCATTCTCAACACTGACAAAAGAGAGAGTTGCACATTGGGATGAGAATCGGCCGAACGAGGAATGTTACTGTCCCTTTCCTAGTTGTTAAATGATTTCTCATAGAGTGTCCATAAGTTCACCCGCGCCTCTCTTGTATACATGCACATTGTAACTCAATACCATAGCGCTCCAAATTGGAGCTCCCGTGCTCCGGAGAGAAGCACGGTAGCATGTGGACAGGCCACGTTCTTGCCTTGATGACGTCTCCGTCAAGGTCTGCTGTCGCATGGTGTGCTGAGTGAAGGGCGAGATCAACCAGAGCCGCCATGGACTCTTGACTCGAAGCTGCGGGCACCATGAAAAGATTATCGGCTCGCAGCACAGACAATCTCCAGGTCGAGTGCTGGGGCGTCGCAGCCGTGTGGAACAGGATAAGGACCAGACGCACCGTGTGAATCGTGGCTAGTGCTTTGACAACACCTGCTGGGGCGGAATCGCTGTGCAGCAGTGCGATTACTGTTGTAGCCTCATTTTGCGCCACCTGTGTGTCCACGGCAAATTAGTGCAGATATATAATGGGTTAAACTTGGCACGTTTGTTTGAATCGGCCACCAATACAAACACATGCTGGGCAATATATCACAAAAATTCTAGACTTGTTTTCTAGTCGCTGGCTGCCTGACACACAAAGCACGCTCTATAGTGCGAGTTTGGTTTGTTGCGTGTAAGTTTCAAATGGGATGTGGTATTTTTTTTTCAAATCAAACTTTCAAGACAGGGGGTGGGTGGGAGAAAGGACAAATGTCGATTCAAGTAGGACATGTTTTCAGTTAATGATGGCTATATATGGTGTAGCAGTTATGGTTTGTTTTAAGAAAATTCGCAGTTTACCTGCAATGACCAAACAATCCACAGGTGGCGTCAACACACAATGGTATTACGTGTGATAAGGTCATTAAATAAACGGTGGTGTATTTCAGATTTATGCTACACTAACACTCCATCATTGCAACTCAGCGTGAGTGTCACAATTCCAGCATATGCCTTAAAGCTAACCAGTGAAGTGTTAAATTATTTATTTATTTACACTGCAGTCTCAAGCAGAGACTATAGCAGGTGTGATACATTAATACATGCTATTAAAACAAAAGGCACAACAGTTTTCAAAGAAAACACATTAAGTGAAAAATACAATGCGGGCTGCCGATAAAACATTAAGATTAAGAAAATAAACAAGAACACAACGGAATTTAACATCAAATATAAACTGTAAAAGGCAAGTGTACAAGTACAAGATCAATAAACACATACAAGAATATAATTTCAGAGAGAAAATTTTTCACATTGAACAGGATAATGCAATAAATTGGAACGCACAATGAAAAGAAGTGTATTAAACGGTGCTAACGAGATACTGCAAATATTTTCGTTAGTACGTTTTTGTTAGTACGTTAAAATAACAAAGCAAGAAAGTTGGGACAAGAGCTGCGTACGTGTAGCTCTCAGGCGAATGCTGCTCTAAATAATAGGTTTTGATAGTCGGCTACATACCTCTGGAATAGCTTTAACGAAGCTGTTCATGTCCGGGCTCGTGCAGGTGTACTTGACACTTCGGTCAAGCTCTCTTAGGTACTCCCATCTTGCTTGCCACGTAGTATTTCTGCTGTCAAAGCCACTGTCCGCAGATACTGTGACGTTGCCACCGTCCAGAAGTACCAGATTCCAGTTCGAACCACGAGGAGCAGCATAAAGAAAGCGCCGCAACCCCTCGTTAATAGACGCCATGATTTTCTGCATTTCGAAGCGATTGAGTGCGATATGGGATAGCGTTCTACAGAGGCATAAAGCACATTCAGTACTAAAGAAGCTGATGTACTTCGTACATCGATATCCTACAACATATGGCTGAAATTGAAGGAATTGAAATGTAGCAGCATTTTAAGGCAAATAATACAACTACATTTTTCTCCGCCGTGCGTATACACAGTATAAACATCTTTTTAATGGCGAATATTCATTTATCAGCTCTCTGCCGCACGTCAATTCTGACGAAGCCATTAGTGGTTGAAACATTTGGTCCAAAGCGGGGTATTTGCAATATAAAAAATTTGCAGACCCCACGTACAGTGGAAATCAATAATATGCGAAGCACGAATGATGAAGGTTGATATGACACTTTAAATCAGCAACACTTTACGAGGCGGTGATAGATTAGGCTGTACACGACTTCCATATCATGATTATCATGTTTTCCCCTGGCATTTGTGTTGGTCATCCATTCACGTCATGTAGTACCTAACTTGGTATCTCTGAAGCTGGCGAAACCGGGCCACGAGCCCGCTATGAGCGTAGCAAGTAGTCATGTTTTACATAACGCGCATGTCATAATTATAATGTTTGGAAGCGTCATTTACCTTCGTCGTCCATTCACATGATTGATTGATATGTGGGGTTTAACGTCCCAAAACCACCATATGATTATGAGAGACGCCGTAGTGGAGGGCCCCGGAAACTTCGTCGTCCATTCACCTCACGTATTACCAAGTTTAATATATGTGAAGCTAGCGAAACGGCCACGAGTGCACCGTGAGCGTGGCGTGCAGTCATTATGGCTTACATGACATGCATGTCATGATTTCCACAGTAGGGTCTGTCACTTATGTTCGCCATGCAGTCATCTCATACTATACCAGTTTTTCAATATTTCAAGTGAACAAAACCACCGCAAGAGCAGCAAGACCATGAATTGTAAATCTTGGCATTCAGGACATACATGTCATCATTTTCATGTTATCACAGTCACTTATGCTTGTCTTACAATCATGTTATGCTATATCAATATTGGTAACGATACCATTGTCGAAACGACCAGGATAGCTAAATGTCGTAGGTGGCTAGATAGATAGATGGATAGATGGACGGATGGACGGATGGACGGGCGGGCAGGTGAGTGGGCGGGCGGGCGGGCTGATGGATGGATGGGTGGATGGATGGATGGATGGATGGATGGGTGGATGGATGGATGGATGGATGGATGGATGGATGGATGGATGGATGAATGGATGGATGGATGGATGGATGGATGGATGGATGCGCTCAAACTCGCCGAAGTTCGTCAATAAAAGCTTTGCCATTAAAAGCATGATTCATTGAGCCTGGTCCGTAAATTAACAAGGCAGACTGCCACACTTCGTGGAAGTTCTCAAGAAGCATTAATGCTTACTAATACTTATTTTGTCGAAAATTTTAGAGTTCACCATTATCGTGGCTTCTGTGTGGGTAACGGTGACAAGCATAGACAACCTGATCTATTGTCTTTCCATCGAAAATGTCGACTCTTTCCGTTATGCGTGAAAACTGACTGCATACTTGCGTGGAGTAGTCAGGGTGAACAGTCGAATCGCCTCAGACAGGCTGGCTGACGTTTCGATACGAAGGCCTATCTTAGTGAAAGGCGCCTTGTCATCCTCGGCGTGTTAGTTTCAAGGGGTTAGTAGTGACGTCATCTCCTGGTGGTGGCGTATGTCCCTGTTGGTAATCGCCGTCTGAAAAAAAAATCTATAAAGCAGAAGAGTGCAGCCATCACTTCTTTTCCAGTTAGGTTGCAGTGTTACAAAGACTTCTCTTCTTGGAGGTCGAGGGAAGGGGAAGCAAAAAAAAAAAGGGGAAAAAGGAAGAGGGGCGGGAAGTAGGAGCGGTGTGCTACAAAGTGGTGGCTGCTGTAGCCAAGACTGAATGAAAGAGCAAGAAATGCTTCAAAACTTGCAGATGTGCACCGCGTCCATTCACCGCGCAAAAGGTTACCAGTGATAGCGGCGTACGCTTATTCCCAAACACCTATAAATGGGCAGGACAGTTTCTCGGGTGGTGGCTTGTAAAATCTAGGTATCGTTGCTTGGCAAATGGACAAGCAACAATACCTATAATATACAAGCTACCACCCGAAGCACTGTAAACAAGGCATTTTCAAGAGTCAGGCAACAAGATTACGCCACGTATATGTATAGGAAACGAGGATCACGGGAACAAACTTGCTGCCCTAAAATGAACACTATAAGACAGAACGCACCTTCATTCCTTGACAAAAACTATACGGACGCACTGGAACTGGACCGCGATGAAGCACTCATACCACGCTCTAAAATCACAACGCCTCTTCTCACTACAAAGTTTTCTAATGCAATGCCCCGCCGTGGTGCTTTAGTGTTTAAAGTACTCGGCTGCTGACCCGCAGGTCGCGGGATCGAATTCCGGCTGCATTTCCCATGGAGGCGGAAATGTTGTAGGCCCGTGTGCTCATATTTGGGTGCACGTTAAAGAACCCCAGGTGGTCGAAATTTTCGGAGCCCTCCTCTACAGAGTCTCTCATAATCATATGGTTGTTTTGGAACGTTAAACCCCACATATCAATCAATTTCTAAAGCATTTCCCAACCTAAACAACATCCTTACAATATACTATCTAATTCGAACATCCAACCAGAAACTTAAGAAAATCTCTCCCGACCCGCCTAAAGTTGCCTACAGATCCAACGCCAAGTTAAAAGGCATGCTTTCTCACAAAAAACTCAAAGCAAAGACTACGGCATTGTCTGGTTCCTGTGGCTGGTTCAAATGCTCCACCTGCAAACATATACAGCTGGCTACCAGCGTAAAAAGCACAGCATCTGATTACATTCACAAGGTTACATAGCTTCACCTGCGCTTTAAACAACCCTATATACTGTCTGAAGTGTGCCACCTGTGGAAAACAATATATAGGCGAAACTGTGCAGCCAATTCATGTAAGACTGAACAGCCACCGTGGAGACACAAAGCACAGTTTACCAAAAGCAGTAGCCGGTCACTTGATTCATCAAGACCTCAATTTCGACTAAGCCAAGCTTTACGTTCTACACACTAATTTTCGGTCACCACGAGAAAGAAAATACACGGAATGATAATTGATACACAAACTTAACTCCCTACACCCATCAGGGGTCAATGTAGCATGTGGAAATTTCGAATCACTAAAAGCGATAGCATTATTGTGGCTGTATTTACGGGCATAAGATATGTTCAACCTGCAAATAGACATAACCGGTATTACATGAGTCGCTCCTAGGCTATACTATACATATAATACTATTAATGTCCTCTTTCATTTTTTTTAAATTTTAAATATAGATATGCATGTGTCTTTATAATAATAAAAAATTTTATACTCTAGAACCATCAAACGACTGCTTTCATTCCTCTTACCTCGCTTCGAGAAACACTCTACCTTCATCGTCAAGATCATTGCCAATCCAAAAAGTTCTCTGCGGCTTTTTACACAATCGTCTCACTTTCCCCCGCGCCGCCTTTTCATTCTTTTATTGCGGTATTATTATTATGGACACTCTCGGCAGGATTTTCGCTGCCGCACCGTGTGTATATATATATATATATATATATATATATATATATATATATATATATATATATATATATATATTATATATATATATATATATATATATATATATATATATATATATATATATATATATATATATATAAACGTAAGAAAGTAAAAAATCCGGAAAAAGACTCCGGCGCGCGGAACTGAACGTGGAACCTCTGCGTCGTGAATGCGAGGCGTTATCCGTTGAGCCACCGAGAAGCCCGTCCTTCGACGTTGAAATGGCTAGCTATTGATTTTGACCACTTCTGCTGACAGGACTCGGGGGGAATCACGGCCTCCGACATTGCGGGTGCGCGGCGTGGTTCTCTCCGGCCATCCCAATCGATGCGCTCCCCAGTAAAACTAGCGCATCTCGCCTCACGCGCCTGGCTACCGCTAAGCGAGGGCGCGTTTAATGTGGGTTCTTCGAGTGGCGGAGGCCATGGCAGAAAGTGGAGCGCGCGGGGTTTCAGCGTGCGTATGTTTTTTTTTTGGTTTTTTCTCGCGTGCGAGCAAAAATCACCGACAAATATTTTGGCTGCACTGAAGGCAAGCATTTTTTTCTGTTACGGCTTTTGTTTTGGTCCAATTGGCGAATAAAAGCACGGCAACTGCTGAATTTTTCTTACATAGATTATTGCACGGAGGTATTATTTCGTCTGTGACAGAATCATTCTAGCATTTCCCTTTTCTGAAGACGCGTATATGGGTGAAAACTGGGCTAATTATCGTTGTTGAATTACATTGCCCTCCTATCGTTAGAGATCGTATTACTATTTTACCGTGTACCGATATTTATCAGGTGGTCAACCGAATTCCACTTACGCTCCAGATAATTAGGTGCTGTGATGGTGCCACTTATTATTGTGATATTTAGGATTGCCGGAATGTTGTGAAAAGCTTCGATTAGCTGGTTTAGATTTACTCCCCGCGTCCTTTATAGTGAAAATGCTTGAGTTATCATCATCTCCTTCTTTAGTCATCTGTCTCCTGATTATGTTTTGGTAGCACAATGACAAATCAGTATTGTGTTCATTTACAGCAATCTCGACTACATTCAAATCAAACAGTCACACATGCCGCCTAACGGCGTCTTTCAGTAAACTAAGTATTCGTCGAGGTAGACTACTGAAGATTAAGAAGTGTGAATTATCACTGCTTTGTAACGCCCACTGTTTCATACTAGATACACAAAACTCTGAACGTGTGCGGCGTTCTAGTCCAACAATCAAAACATCTCGATGTTCGTTTTTACATTCCCCATCATATACACTGAACACCGTAGGCCTCACAGTGCGAATGGGCGACCAGAAGTGATCAAAGCGCACCTGTAACCAGCCCGTGGTCGTCGCAGAGCCGGTGACGTTCAGTCTAGACGTAGTCTAGACCTCCTCTTTGTCTCCTGCTTCTGCGGCGCCACGAGAGGTAGTTGGAAAGAGAAAGTGGGAAAGACTTGCGGGTGAGTGCGAAGCGTTGTACGCTTTGAGAGCGTGGCTTAATTTTCGCGCCAGACTTGACGGCGTTGGCACATTGCGAGGAGAGAGCATGGCAGTCACTGATGCTGAGTGCCGTGTTTGGTCGGCTCAGCGACCATTTCTTTTCATCGGGAAAACCTCCTATTTGCATGAGCTCCTACTTCTTCGTAACGCGCTCATGCTGCGGCATTCGCGTGGTTACCTTGCATACATGCGTCGCTGGCATTCTGCATAGAGGAGAGGACGTTTTAATGTGGAAGTCAGAATGAATGTTTGATTCAATTGTAGCAATTTATTAATAAAGTTGCCGACTGGTTACGGTTTATACAATTGATGTTATGCCAATGCTGTAGTTTTTCCTGTTAGAGAAAGTGACATCAGGTCTACTTTTTTTTGTTTAATTTCAGAATAATGTCGTACTGATGTGTACCCTCCTGCACTATAGATAGGGAAAAAAACTTGGGCACGAGACGTTAGCATGTTCAGTGGCGGCGTCAGTGGCGCCGCCGACGCCTGATTTGCGAGTAGGTGCGATTATAAAACACTCCACATTTAATAAAAACAGACAGCCCAATCCACAAGCAAAATCAGAATGCCGCATTTTGCGCTGACGAGTTACACGCAAATAAATGGGTCACTTTCTTGTTCCTTTTGTGGAACTACACCTGATTTAAATCGCACGCTGTTTAAAGAATTATCACAGGCACGCTGACGTAATCACAGCTGCGAGGCGTATCGCGACGTGGTTTTATTGCTTTTAGGAACGAAGCTATTTATAGCATCACTTGGTCGGTCGTCTTTCTATCCAGCGTAGCCAGCATATCCACGGAGCGAATGATATGATGAGTGGGGCGAAGCGTCCGTCCGTCCTATGCGTGCTGCAGTGTGATTGGAGTCGATGGACGCATGAACGAATGACTGCACGGACGGACGGACGGACAGATGGACGGATTGACGCTTTACCTCACTAATCATTCACTCCGTGCATATGCTGTAATTTTGTTTATCCCTCGTGCACCGCACAGCGTTTTGCTTGTGGTTGGCATGTCCCGCTGAACGTGCCTCCTATAAACCAGTTGTGGCGAGCACAGCTGGACGGCTGGCGTGTTAGCCTAAGAAGCTAAGAACGCTTCTAAGAAGAATGAAAACCACGTCGTGGTGCAGCTGTGATCACAATTGGCCATCTGCAAGAATTCTCGAAACAGCGTTACATTGAAAAGCAGCGCTAGTTCAATGAGAGCAAGAAGAATTCATTCTTTCGAGTGTAAAAAGTAATCCATGGACGTAGAACGCTGCAGTCGTCTGACCTCGTTTGCGGATCAGGCTGCCATTTTTCTTTCTTCTTCGCCGATGCCCCCCACCTCCTTCTACGTAGCCCGTAAACTTTGAAGTATAGTTAGAGCACCTGCGGATCTCTTGCAGAAGCATCGCAATTTTAACTGCTCTAATATGGGCGACGCCAATCTACAGCAAAATAAAAAAACCCAATAAAGAATAAAATGCCCCAGCATTGACTTTGCCTCTCGTACACTTTGACCCAGCATTTAAAAACAAATACAACGCTATATAAAAGCACAAAGCCAGTTTTTTCTAGCCACATAGAGGCTTCGCCAACAGCGTGGCAGCCTTTTAGACCGAAAGAAAGAGCACCGCGGGGCGGAGACAAGAGCCGACCGCGCCCACTTCTAGAAACACATGCTCTCCGTGTGATTGGGACAGCCAGAGAGAAACCCGCCGTGCGCCCGTAATCTTGGAGGCTCTGGGGGCTCATTGCGCCATCTTGCTTGTAATGCTTAAAGCACATCGTGCTTTAAGCATTACAAGCAAGATGGCGCAATGAGCGCGCGTCGCCACATCGCGTGGCGGCACGCGCTCTAATATTCCGCGCGTACTTTGCCCCGCTAAGAGCAAGGAAGCGAGGCTCCCTCGCGTGCCCTTATCACACGGGGAGGATTGCACGTCTTGTCTAGTCTCGAGTTTTACCTGGAACGATTCTTTTCTGGTTACCGGGCGCACAAAGGTTACTGCAATCGTTGAAGTCTTCGTTTGGGAACTTATTTATTATTTATTTGATATACATACACAGATACACAAGGACGCAGAGGAAATAGGCAGAGAGCAAGCTGGCAACTGCCACCTGGAGGGGCACAACGCCTGCTCACTCTTTCGGGAGGAGGGACGAAACAGAGGAATCAAAGATTAGAGGGAAGAAAGAGGCGAAGTGCGCGCTTTTCAGACACAGCGAAGAAACAACTGAGACGCCAATTCTCGCGCATCGGTACCTGTGAGCACGTCTTGTGCGTCATAGGCGCGTGAGAAACGCGGGGCACGTTGCGATCTGCTTTCTATTTTGCGCGTGACTTTCGAATTTCTCGCTATCGCGTTCATTGCTTCGCTTTTGCGGCAAAGCTGACTTTTTCCTTTCTTTTTTTTCTCGTACTCTCTCCTCGTTGCTCATTTCCTTCGCATTCTCGATTTTCCCTTTCTTTATCTAACATGCCACCTAATTCTGGAGGCAATTTCACTTAGCGGCCTACTTGCGGAAACACTCAAAACATTTTTTTGCCTATGACCTTTCCCATTACACACATGCCCTTCAGACCCCACCCGGTATCGCTTACCGTCGACATCTTGACATTTAAAAGTACGCTGCTTGCTTCTCCCCATTTTTGTGATGGCCTCCTTGTTGTCCTTCCCATTCATAGGTGTTTAGGAACAGGCGTACGCTGCTATAGTCGGCAACCTATTGATGTGGCTGCACGCGGCGCCCATCTGCTGGTTTCGAAGTATTTCTTGCTCTTTCCTTCGTGCGTGGCTGTAGCGGCCATCACTTTGTAGAACACCGCTCCTACTTTGCGTCCTCTCCCCTTTTTTTCTTTTTATTTCTCTTCCTCCGACCCCCGAGAAGAGAACACTTTGTAACATTGCAACCTAACATAAAATGAACGGATGACTGCACTTTTCTGCTTTATACATTTTTTTCTTTTCAGGCGGTGATACCAACAGGGACACACTCCACCACCAGGAGATGACGTCACTGCTAACCCTGCTAACCGCTGGAATTGACTCCGGTGATTTTTCGAGGTCAGTGGATCTCAATGAAATTCACTGTGTACGTTCATTTGTGCGTTTGCGCCATCTATGCCAAATTGCGGGCTTGAGAGTTTCGCAGTTTTTTTTTTCAAATGAATTTAATAGCTTGCCTCAAAACGCTCCTCTCGCTTGCCAGGATTAATGGCAACATTGTGTGTGTGATGTTGAGTTTTGCCCGGCGGAAGTGACAGAACTGATGTGCCACGGCAGCGTCTGCTTGTCTGCTACGAAATGTGTGGGTTTGGCCAGTGCTTACTTGGTTGCGCGTGCGATTTCCTTTTACATATTGGTGGCCGTGCGATAGGTGGCAAGTGGTGTTGCATTGTGAGCCACACATGAGTCACCATATATTCACCATAACCGCGCAAGCGTTTTAGCCGAGTGCCGCGGATGGCGTGGTCTGGTAGTGCCATCTGGCGGGCATTAGGCGCAATCAGGCAGGTTCCCGGAAGTGTCGGGCATTTGATTACGTCACACGTAGAAGCGCACTTGGTTGGGTTTTGGTTTCGGTATTGTGTTTTTTCATTAATTAAAAAATTATTTTCAAATTTGTTTAGCATTTCTCTTATCGGGCGCGTGATAAGAGTGTCTTAGGAACATAAAAGCACCATTATTCTGATATGGTAAAAAAATCGCCGGAGTTAGCCTTTAAAACTAACACGCCAAAAATGACAAGGCGCCTTTGACAAAGATAGGTCCTCGTATCGAAACGTCGGCCAGCCTGTCTGAGGCACTTCCACGGTTCACCCTGATTGCCCCACTACGTGTTTCCATCTGTCGGCTCCCCTGTAAAGTTTGGACTTGCATGCTTGTGTGTGTGCTGTGATATCTTTTCATCTATTTCCTCTCTTTTCTCTCCTTCTTTCGATATTCTCCATCTCGTTCTCACGTGTAGGGTAGTGAACCGCTTATCCTGAACTGGTTAACCTTCCTACCTTCTCTACCATTTCTTCTCTCTGTTATGCGTGGTACAGTTTATGGTGATATCGAGAAGTACGATGGTACATATAGGTTACACGGGTGCCTGTCACGCGTAAGAATGGAACAGGTCAGCCGTTCTGTAGCGAAGATATGCCTAAGAGAATCTGTAAGTTATGGCTCAGGTTCAGGCCGACTGACTGCAATACCGTGACGAAATGGCTAGTTGCACGCTCCACATGCGCACAATATGATTAGACAGCTTTCTTAGTATACCTATAATTTCTTGAAAAATTCGAGCTATACTTCAAAGCCGGATAGGAAGCCTTTTGAAGGTTAGTGCAGACACGGCTCCCCCTAACGGTGCGCAATTGGCGTACCATGCTCACATAGGTGAGGGTGGATTATTACCGTATTGTGCGCTCAACTCACTCTATGCAGTTATTATCTTCAAAAATAATCAATCATTCATAGAACTGGGAACTTAAATGAAATTTTTGTTCTCAACATTTGCAAACTTTATTCAAATGAGCGTGCCAGTTTGCCGGGTAAGCGTTACTTTGAACCAGCGCATTTTCGTAACTAAGCAATATCTTCTAGTCACATACAGGTTGGGCGTCGCCACTTACACTATACACTGAATCCGTGGGATCAGGTGCGCAAGCCTGCACAACGTAAAAGTAACGGTGCGTCCGTGGCTTGACGTAGTCGAACAGAGTAGCTGGTTGCACGGATAATGGATGAATGCTGCAAAAGAATGTTTTACATTTAGTGCTACTTTGTTTAGGGGCTTTTGGCACACTTCAGCTTAATATAATCGACCAGGGTTTTTGCAAGTGTAACCATCCATGATACAAAAAAAAAGGTTAAAATTGGGAATATATCTAAAAGAAAGAGAAGAAAGCAAACTACTGCTATTCAGTGAAAAGTCACAAAGTGCCGGAAAATAAAGGGAAACTTAGTGCTGGGCGTTGCATGGTTCGAAGCGCTAGGTGCACAAATGTCCAGACATGATGGTCACCTTCATGTAAGATAATCGAATGCTAGCTAGAGCACGCACTTCCGCTATTGTTTATTAATCAATGTTGGCGTTTAGTGTCCCAGAACTACGATACATTTATGAGGGACGCTATAGCGAAGAGCTCCTGAAATTTACAGCACCTAAGGTTCTTTCATATGCATGCACACAGGGTGTTTCAGTTAAAAAATCACCAAGCAATAAAAAAATTAAAAATGAGTGCTACGCGTCTTCAGCTAGCACACTATTGTTCTTAGCTGTATGCAGCACGTCAGAACATTCTTTATCCGCCAGGCATGGTAAATAATAAAAATTGCCTATTAAACTTTTTAAAAACTGACTCGAGGGGAAAGAATTCAATACAAGAATTGTTGCTCTTATACAGAAATAACAAAATTTTCAAGTTACGGTACATAACAACGCTGGTCATTTTTTTTTCAGGGTTTGTTTAAAGTGCGCTAAATTAAAAAAAAAACGCGAGATTGCCGCTTAGCGAGCGGCGCTTGGAGTGCCCTCAAATGTAAGTTGAACGAATTAGCGAAGACTTCTCACGCACGAAGGTCGCTTTAAGAGGCTATCGGGGACTGCGATGTACATTAAACGATGGTTGGATGGTACCATTAAAAAAAAAGGGGGGGGGGGGCTGAAAGAAAAAAAACGAACACAATAAACTTCGACGAAATAGCAGCTGCCACGTGCATTGCGATACAAGACTGGAGGCAGCATTTGGCGCAGCACAGACGTTTTTTTTTTCTTTTCTGGCCAACGATAAACATAATGGTGGGAGAGAGCATGGCATTTTGATAAAGGAAGAATACAAAAAATTCAGCGGTAATTATTCCACAAGTATTTTTTTCGTCATATCTGCATCGATTACGAGCGATTGCTCTATATACTTGCAAGGAATACGACGCAATTGGCTGTGGGTTCGAAAGTTTACTGCTCGTACTTCATCTCCATTTAGAAATTCATGTTGATTGATTGTTATGTGGGGTTTAACGTCCCCAAACCACTATATGATTATGAGAGACGCCGTAGTGGAGGGCTCCGGAAATTTAGACCACCTAGGGTTCTTTAACGTGCACCCAAATCTGAGCACACGGGCCTACAACATTTCCGCCTCCATCGGAAATGCAGCCGCCGCAGCCGGGATTTGAACCCGCGCCCTGCGGGTCAGCAGCCAAGTACCTTAGCCACTAGACCACCGCGGCGGGGCAAAAATTCATGTTTAGTAGCCGTCTGTTAGAGCGCAGTACGTTTAAATAAACAGAACAAATTAAGAAGTGTTCTGTGCTCTTATAGCTAACTTTTAAATAGTAGCAAAGCTAGGTGTTGGAAAGAGATCAGCGTAATTGCAAAGTCCAAATCACTTTTGTTGAAACCTCATGAGCAGTTACACTACAGCGTGCTCAAACACCCCTCCATCAGCCGCAATACACAATATACATCGAATCAGCACATTTTCTCTCGCGTTTCGTAGCATTCGTGAAGAAATAGAACGGCACACATCTGCTATTTTAGACTTTAGTCTTGCGGGCGTTGTCGTCGCTTCAGTGCAGACGAGGTTGTTAATGTATCCCCATAGAAAGAATTCTAGCGGAGTCAAATCTGGGGATCTTTCGGGCCACTCTAAAGGTCCAAGACGGGAGATACATTTCTCGGGAAATTCTCGATCAAGCCACGTTCGAGTTCGCGAGTCCGCGTGCAGCTGTGTGGAGGCGCTCCGTCTTGCTGGAACCAGATATTTTCAAGCTGTGCTAGAGGGAGGTCGCAGGTGAAGTCACTCAGTGGGCCATTTAGTATTTCGATGATATAACATTTTGCGCTGAGTGTTCCATCGAAAAAGACCTGGTTAATAATTTTGTCGTCGTAAATGGTGCACCAAACACTGGAAGACCACTGCACATGTTGTGACTGCAGCAGCCAGTGAGGATTTGTAGCGCTCCAGTAATGACCATTGTGAACATTGACTTGGACATTGTGCGAGAAGCGAGCTTCATCGGATCAGAATATGCTCTTCAGTAAGCCAGATTGCCTTCTTCCTGTACGAGTATACAGTTGCAGAAGTCCAGATGGCTTTGCAAATCTCAGTCTTCCAGCTGTTGATGCAGGTGAACATGGTATGGGTGAAGCCCTCTGCTATTGAGTACGCGCCAAACACTACTGCTTGAAACGCCTGTCTCAAAACTCATGTCGTGCACGCTTGCGCGGGGATGTGCTGCCATGTAAGCAAGAATGTCTGTTTCAAAAGACTCAGACACACCTTGTGTGCGCTGATGCTGCTTTTTGAACGGGCCTGTCTCCTTGAGCCATTCGTAATTTTGCACTGTCAAACTATTTACCCGAATTTTCGGGTGCCATCTGCGAAGTAATCTTGCCGCCTCTCTCCTGTTTCCGTTCGCTCGGCTGAGGGTGAGAACCATATTCGCACGTTCTTCATTAGTGAAACGGATCGTTCCAGAGTAATGGTTGGTGCACACCGGTGACTAGCAGCGGTCGCGCGACCATTTGCGACTGGCGACCAAAAAAGCTACTGATGTTCACACCGGCTGAGGTAAAAAAGAAAGTCGCAAAACCGGGGAGTCACGTCCGGATCTTGTTATTAGCGAGAACTCTGGAGATCAGCGCCGATCAGCTGAATGAGCGGAGCGAACCGAGCGCGCTGCATTTATTGTTTTCGTTCGTTCTCGCACAGCGTTCCCAGCAGCGTTCGAGTCAAGCAAATAAGAAGATATTGGCATGACGCTGATGCGCTATGCCATGGTTATAGCCATGGTGTCAGCGCGGGCAGAACAGAAGCCTTCAAAGAAGAAAAAAAAAAAAGCCGGTGGTGGGTGTGACCGTTCCTTCGCTCGCGAGAGTTGGCCGGCCATGCAAGTCGCCTACCTCCCGAGCTGCGCTGAGACGATGAGAAGTATCGCTGAGAGTGGTACATATTCAGAAACTTTCCTTCAGTTTAATTTGATCTGCTACAGCCTCCAATGCAGCACAAACGTGTCTCGAACGTGGTGTTTTAGTCGGTGCCAAGGCATGAACCACAAACGGGTTCTAAACGCGCTGCACTGAAGGTGGTGGCAAGTCAAGTTCAAGACAAAAAACGATTCTAGCTGAATAGTGAAGATAGTGAAGATAGTGCACGATTTATTTCCTCCTCATTTTTGACGGTGTTTAGCTTCTTGCAAATGCCGCCACGTGGATTCGACACTTTGCTCGAGCTGCTGCGCCAAGCCATCTCCAAACAAAGTACTTCGTGGTGACCATGGTGCCACAGACCCAAAGGAACGCACTCATTTGTATCTGGCGACAGGATTCAGCGCAATGAAAAAACAAAACAAAAAGAGCCTGCTTATAAAGAAATGCTGGTGTCACTTCTGGGCATCGCTGATTGGTTCGAGCAGTTTTGCAACTGCAGTCACGTGACTGAAAATCGAGCAAGAATCGACTAGCCAAAGCAGTAGCTTTGCGACCATTTGCGACTGTTCGCGACCAGTCGCAAAGGGTCGCGCGACTGCTGCTAGTCGCCGGTGTGCACCAAGCTTAAGAATTTCTCTTGTTGAAGTGTGTCCCAAAAAACTGCTTACGTCATATTCATATCGTGTTTTTAATATCGTTCCTTTATCAAAATGTCATCCTCTTCCCCACCATTATGTTTATTGTTGTCGCGAAAAGAAAAAAAAAAACACTTGCGCTGCGCTGAATGCTGCCTCCGGTCTCGTACTGCAATGCACATGGCAGCCGCTATTTTGTCGAAGTTTATTATCTTTGTTTCTTTCTTTCGCCCCCCCCCCTCCTTTTTTTGGTACCATCCAACCATCGCTTAATGTGCATCGCAGTCACCGATAGCTGTTCAAGCGACCTATGTGCGTGAGAAGCCTTCGCCAATTCGTTCAAGTTACATTTGAGGGCACTCAAAGCGCCGCGCGTTAGGCGGCAATCACGTGGTATTTCCGAATTTCGCGCACTTTAAACAAACCCCGGAAACAATTACCTACTGTAACTTGAAGATTTTATTTCTGAATAAGAGTTAGAAGTCTTGTATTGAATTTTTTTCTCTAGAGTCAGTATTTTAGAAGTTCGTTAAGCAATCTTTAATAATTACCATGCTTGGCAGATTAAAAAAAGCATTCTGACGTGCTTCACGCAGCTAAGGACAATAATGTGCTATCTGTAGATGCGTAGCACTCATTTTTAATTTTTATTGCTTGGTGCTTTGTAGCTGAAACCCCCTGTATATCTAAGCACACCAAGCTCAAGTATTTTCGCCTGTGGCGAAAATGCAGCCGCCGCGAACAGGATTCGACCTCGCGACCTTCGGATCTACAGTCGGGCACCATAACCACTATAGAGCAGTGGGTTTCCGCGGTGGGTTTCCGCTATCGTTCGTATGCCAATTAGGCCATCACCATAAAGAGTGCTTCCTCATTCTCATGTACACATAAATCTGCGTAGTTCGGAAATTTAGAACAGTGGCTTATGACTTCAGTTACCGTGCCAATGCTCTCTTTACTGAATATGAACTGATATACGCCCTCGGCAATGCCCTCTAACAGGTGGACAATTTTGTTCTCCTGTGGCATAGAAAGGTTGGTGATCTTGCAGAGCTTCAAGGTTGTCTCGATATAGGTCGTGCACGTCTCTCCTGACATCTGAGCTCTGTACAGTAACGTTTGTTCCACTTGCTTCCTCCTAGCTACGGAGTATACGAAGCACGCCCTCATTTCGGAAACGA